GTTTTATGTTTAGGTGGTTATGATTTATATGAGAACAATAAAAAATGATGAGGCAATACGGCAGTTAGTGAGAAAAATGGCTCCTCCTCTTGGTTTGTATTAACTTTAAACAAACAAATACATATACACTTATCTTTTGACAAAGTTATTTCCTTTATGTTTAGTTACTTTATTGGCATCTGCACCTGAAGTTCAGTATGTTGCCTTAAGAAACATCAACATTATATTGCAAAAACGGCCTGAAATTTTAGCAAATGAAATGCGTGTCTTCTTTTGCAAATATAATGATCCACCATACGTAAAACTTGAAAAACTTGAAATTATGATCAAGTTGGCTAATGAAAAAAATATTGACCAATTATTATCGGAATTAAAAGAGTAAGATCGAAAAAAAGAAAGGTTGGAAATAATGGTGTTCAAATGTTTATTCCATGTACCTTATATTTTGATTAGATATGCATCTGAAGTAGACGTTGATTTTGTAAGAAAATCTGTTCGAGCAATTGGACAATGTGCCATCAAGATTAGTGAAGCCTCGGAAAGATGTGTTAATGTTTTGTTAGATTTGATTAATACTAAAGTTAATTATGTAGTTCAGGAAGCGATTGTTGTTATCAAGGTATGGTTGTGAGCATTGTTTATTTATTTATTATTGTCTTATTTATGTTATTTATAATATTAGGACATATTTCGAAAATATCCACATAAATATGAAGGAATTATTCCAACATTATGCCAGAATTTAGATGCATTAGACGAGCCAGAAGCAAAAGCTTCTTTAATTTGGATTATTGGTGAATACGCTGAGAGAATTGAAAATGCTGACGAATTAATTGTTACATTTTCGGATACATTCCGGGATGAAAATTCTCAGGTATGTAAAAAGTCTGCGTTAATTTTTTTAAATCATTTAAAATATATTCGTATTAAACAATTTTATTATTTTATGTGGCATTTTTGTTAAGGTTCAATTACAGTTGATTACCGCAACCGTCAAACTTTTCCTCAAAAAACCACAATCAACACAAAATATTGTACAACGTGCTCTACAGACCGCCACGTCCGAATGTGATAATCCTGACATCAGAGATCGTGCATATATTTATTGGAGATTGTTATCGACAGATCCTCAGGCTGCCAAGGTACTATCTTGGCTTTCATATCCTTCATAATAGCAACGCAGTCAAGGACCGATTTTACGTTTTGCAATAATTGCCTGATCATTTCTTTAGGCTGTTGTTCTGTCAGATAAACCTCCGATATCCGTTCAAAGTAACACGATGTCTAATTCTTTACTTGAAGAGCTGATTAGTAACATCTCGACCCTTGCCAGCGTATATCATAAACCTCCTGAAACGTTCCTAGGGAGAGGTCGTTTTGGTGCTGACGCCGTTCAACGACGGGCTATCGAGTATGATAACTCTTAAGATTAGATTATTCAAATTTAATTAAGTTGGTTGACCATATATTTACTTTTATTATAGGGAACAAGAAGAGGCTTCTCGAGAGTCACCGATCCAGGCTCAAACTAAAACAAATATTGAGAATCTATTGGATTTAGATTTTAGTGATACTACAACTGCTGTTACAACCACATCATCTCTTCCGTCATCCTCCATGTCTTTCACGCCAACTGCCAATGTGGACGATTTATTGGATTTGTTTAATGACAATAGTATAACGTCTACGCAATCTTCTAATCATC